GGAGCACTAAATTGTTCCCAATGGCACCACGAAGGTCAATGCCTTGTCATACTTTTTGAGCAAACTCATCTTACTATGGAGGGAGATAGGCAAGAGAGGCAAAGAGAAAGAGCTGTGACCTGACATCACCAGCATCCACTCCTTCCTGCAGTCAAACACACAGATCTTGGATTGGCCTTTTCAGTCATCTCTGAATTCACCATAGCGGCCTTATCTATTGGAAAACTGTTATTCTCTTACTGCTGGACTGGGACTGCTGCCACTGCAGACAATGACTGTAGTGGGGATGCAGCTATTCCAGTCATGCTGTGTTGATTTGCAGCGTGAATGCTCTCACTCCAGTAAGACTAACTCAAAAGGAGTTCATTTGAATATACATTACTAAACTAAACTGAAGTAAAAAATCTGGGATGCAGTTTAATGGATGTGGTAAGAGAGAGTGTCATCGAAGTGGATGGCAGAGATCACTCTTTTGAAATGTAGTTTGACAAAAACCATGTAACATTGACAATGTTCAGTGCAAAACTAGGTACTGAAGACAATTTTGAAGTGGAAAAGCTATTTCTAGGAGCACTGCAGGAGTTATGTTGCTACCTGGTGCTGTATGCTGTAGCGGGAAGGGTTGGCTTAGCAGTATCTTCACCTTTCAAGCTGTCATGGGATTTTTCAAATGATCAATCTCATTACTAGTTGTCAGGCTTACTTAATATACAAAACTTATGTAGAATCTTGAAGTAGTAAACTATTTTAAGACCAGAAGGAGCCATCAGATTGTCTCATCTGACCTGCTGCATGAATTTTACTCAGTGACCCCCTGTGTTGAGCCTAATAACTTGTGCCAGACAGAACTATGTCTTGTAGGAAGGCGTCTACTTCTTGTTTTAAGGACATCAAGAATCAGAGAATCCTCCTCTTCCTCTGGTAGTTTGTCTTAATTTTTAATCCCCTCACTGCTAAAAAAAAGTGAGCCTTATTTCTAAATTACATTTCTTTGGCTTTAACATTAATGCATTAACTTTCTCTGCATTTCTCCACTGGATTAAAGAGCCTTTTCTTTCTTAGTAGTTTCTCCCAATAAAGCATTGGGTAATCCGGTCAGCTCTTGATCCTCTTTTTAGATCACCAGAAGACATTTTTTCCAGCCCTCACAATATTTTTAAAGCTGCTGTCTGCACCCTGTCCAATTTTTCGAGTTTTCTTACCCAGGTTTGACAGGAACACATGAACTAGAAATCCCAAGGAAAATAATTGTTTAGCAAATAGGGAAAAGGTGTCCAGTATTATCATCAGGACTGCAAAGCAGGCAGAGTGCTGATGTGAATTGCTGTTGAATTCCCATTATCTGATAACAGATCTAAGTTTGTCGCCAGAAATTATTCCTAATTAGGCAGTCCTATATGCAGTGAAAGCGGGGGGTTATTGATGAAAGATTCCTGGAATGGCATGAAAGCTGGTCTGGCCAGATTGTGTGTTGCTGTAACAAGTTAGTAGAATAGCTGACATAAAACATAGCCTTACATTTACGCATACTTGGTGCAAATGGAAATGACTTATACTTTCCGCTGTGGTGCACCAAATATCCCCTTAGATTTCAGTCCGCATATCTTTGTTCTGAGCTGTAGTTCACTAATTGTGGATTGAAGGATAAACTAGAATGTGGAGATGAATTGTTCAGAATTATTGCTGAGCCTGGTATTTTGCTTGATGCCTGCTACTTTCTGAGAGAGGACAAAACTGGAAAGCACTCTTGACACAGTAAGGAGGCCAGTCACTGCAATATCTGTTCTTGACATGTATTGATCCAGTAAAAGAGAAGGGCCATGTTCATTTACTTTTCAGTTTTCTGTCAGGTATGTAACAGTTTGTTGATGGACAGTTTGATCTCAAGAGGAAGAGGAATGTGAATAGTTTATAAGAATACACTGTTCAGTAGATAGCAAGCCAGACCATTCAAAAGAAGTGTTTATATTGTCTTATTTGGCAGGGTGGGGATGTTTAATTTTTACACCGGAAAGGCTAAGCCTTCTTTTTTTTCTTTGATGACGGCATTTTAACAGATTTATTCCAGGCAAGTTTCTATGGAAGAAAAACAAGCTTTACCCAGGAGTTGGATTGAAAACAAAATGGGTGTTAGTTGAATTGGCTATGTAGGTCTGGGGAGGTTGTCATAATTAAAAGGTTCCTCTGCAATGAAAAGGTAAGTTTTCGCCATCTGGTGAAGTCATGCTGTATTTTGGCTAGTAAAAGGAGGAGGAATCTGCTGTATGGAAGAGTTGGTCTACCAGGAGTCTCCACATTGGACAGCAGATCTGTAGGGTAGGCATATCAGTTGGAATTCTTTGGGCAAGACGCTGTGCTGAAACATAGCCAGGATGGATTGCTGCTAATCTCTGTATGCTTATTTTGAACTCAGAGAAGCTCACAGCTTAAGTGCATTATGAAATTGCAGGAGAGATGTATTGGATGGGGTGATAATTTTTTTATAGAAATAGTGTAGACCTAAAATAGACTTATTTTAATTCCTAAAATCTTAGACTCTGGGCCTGTTGGCATTGCCAGCAGCTCAGTGGGCATTACGCAAGGGAGAGGGAACAGTTAGGAGTGTCCCTTTCTAGCTACTTACTAAAGATTGAAGGTAAGGGACTGTGCACTACGGACTGGGGTGGAGGCATGGGGGATGCTATGGACTGAATAGATGGAATTGGGTTTTGAACTAGAGTTAGTGATTTGCCCACCAAGAATGACCTGGGTGGGGGGCAGGTAGGGACAGGAAGCTTGCTAACCCTGAACCCCTCCTGCGCTGCTTCCTGTCCACCAGAATGCTCTTGAAATACTCCGATTGGTTGTTTCAGTAGCCAATCAGAGTGCTCCATGAGTGTTAGGGTCAGGCAGACAGAGGGACTAAGCCCTTTATTATATTAGAATGATCTCATACGGTGAGCCTGGTCATTGGATCAGCTTCTGCTTCAAGGTCCCCCAAGAACACAATCTTTGGACATTCATTATAAATATCCTTTTAGGCCCTCATTATTTCAGAGGACTTGACACTTTAGAGCTGGATGATGGATTTCTTATATCTGACAATCTCCCAGCTCATCAGCTCTTCCAGATCTCCTGCCATAGGTTTATGGTCCCCTAGGGGAACCAGAATCTGAATGTCCTCAGTTTGTAAGATCATAAAATCAGACCCAAGCAGCATTGTCCAGATGATAGAAAACAGGAGAGGGAGTCAGGAGACCCAGAGTCTGCTTCAACCTGTGTTACTGGCTTGCTCAGTGATCTTGGTGTCTTTCTTGGAATGTGCCTCAGTTTCCACGTATGTAAAATGAGGATATTATTACTTGCTCCCCTGGCCTCAATACACTGAGACCTACAGGTGAAAGCCGCTATAAAAATGTGCAGTATCATAATATTGTATTGACACTGCTTAAAGGCAGCTTTTGCCTACAAGATAACTCAAGGTTGAATGCATTGTTTGGTGTAAATGTAATGCTAAGTAAATATATTGATGGAGAGGCTCTGTTAGTCCATAGCCAGGCTCCATTTCCATTGCACTTCTCTTTCCTTTGTACCTCAGCCTGTTCTACAGGATCAAACAGAGTTCAGTTCTGATGGCCTGTTCAGACTTTGGCCCCTGCCGCAAGGGAACTAATGAGGTCTCAAGCCTTTTGTATTTATTGGTAAAACAAGGGAGATTGACAAACCCTTAGCCAAGTTTCTGGGCTTGTACAGCTCTCCATGGCTGGGAAGTTTTAGGAGGGAGGTGGTCTGAGGACCAGGTTTTGGAGTACTCTACAGGGATCTGAACTAATTGCCCTTTCTGTTTTGAGTGCGGATATTCACTGCATGTTGATTGACACAGATGAAAATGCTACATGAATCTCTGAGGGCAGAACTAACCTCCATCCCATGCGTGGTCCATGGTCCTAATCTGCATTTAGCAGACTTGAGTCACCAAGTCCTGCGTTGGGAATACAGAACCCACCTACTCTGCCTTTCTTCCTGCCCTCTTCCCACAAGGGATGATCAGATCAGAGAGGTGTACAGTCCCCAACCAATATCTCAGAGAAAATAGGCTTAAACTGGAGTTGAGAGAGGCAGTTAGCTGTGTTAGTGTGAAATCAAGCAGAAAGCAGGGTAGAGATGCACCTTATAGACTAACTGAATCAGAGACGTATAAGCTTCCATGAGCAGGAGCTAACTTCATCAAAATGCTACTGGAGCTATTAGTTCAGCAGTAGCTGAGTCAGACCAGCTTAAACAAAACTCTGGTTCACATTGCCCAGACTTGCTGCTCTCCCTTTTTTGTGGAGGGATGGTGAGGAGCTTTCCCCCCATAGAAAGTAGTAGGAGACCATTCCCCCTGAACTCACCTCTGCCCTGTATTTAGGGGCCCTTTTGGAAAAAGCTGACACAATCCCTTCACCACAGCTAGCTCTACTCTGATAAACAGCAGAGGGACCAGTAGTGTCCCCCTGCTGTTCCCTTCCTTTCCCAGGGGAGGAAGAGACAGGCAGCAAACCTTTGATGTACAGGCATGGGCCTAGCTGACATGCCCTGTGTGTTCATGTGAGCCTGGCCTGACTCCAGCTCCCTTTGAAGTGCTCCAGTGATCAGGATGAAAGGGAAAGGAGTCCCTCCCCAAAACATCTGGCCCTAATTGCAGGTACAAGTGTCTCTGCATCCCTGGTGAGAAGAGGAACTCCTGCCTTTTCCTTAATCCTGCAACTACCGGTAAGGAAGGGCTTGGGGTGGTAAGGGAGGACTAGGACACAAAAGGGGGTGTAGGGTAGACACCAGTAAATACCTAGTGACTGTGAGGTGCACTAGAGAAGTGGTTCTCAACCTCATTAGACTCAAGGCACCCATTTGGAGAATGCCAACTCCTAGATTGCACTCTTTTTTTTGACAACAGAAAAATACTAGAATACTTCTATTGCAAAGAACTCAGACCACAGTAGGTCAGAATAGGTTTTGGAACTCTGGATTCCTGCTTGAAATCTCTGGGTTTATCTTGTGAATCATGAGGAGGTGTTTACACACGTAACGGTGCTCATATTTTATGATACCTTGGAAAAGGTATCATGGCACTCCAGAGAGCCATAGCCCCGTGGTTGAGAATCATTGCACTAGAGCGTGAAATTGGATGAAAGTGAGAGCTGTATTGCTTAACACATTGGATCCTAGAACAGTGAAGTGTCTTTCTTTGGGAAACCTCCCTGCTATGGTTGAGCAAGAGCTACAGTGCAGAGGGATGGATAGCTTTTCCCAACTCTGATGTCTCAGATGCACTAAAGCTTGCAGTTCCTTTGACTCACCCTCCTTCCTCCCTCCTTAATACCAGTGTGGGTCAAATGCTGAAATTAGAAATGTAAGAATCTAGTTCAAGAACTTCCTTTTGAAGGAGTTTATCCTGTCTCTGTCCAAGTCCACCCTAGCTCATCCTGCCTGCCCACCCTAATTCATCAGGCTGCATAGAAATGGCACTGGCACAGCTGTTTCTTGCTGCATCCCCAGACAAGAGCAGGAATGCAGAGAGAAGCAAGGTTTGGTGTGCTGTAGAACAGATAAGAACATCAAAAAAGTCAGATCAGCTCATTAAACAGTTCGGTTGTGACACAGCACCATTTACAAGTAGTGTTGTGTCATAGTCTGCTGCAGAGGAAGGCAAAATTAGCCATTTTCTATTATGTAAAGAAATGTAAAATGTAACTATCTATTGCCAGCAAGTTCTCATTTTTTCCCCTTGCCTTTTAGTAAGTGATTGGTTCAAAAGGTAAAATATCCTTGTTCTTTAAAACATCTGTAGTCCCTGTACTATGACCTAATTCTGAGGTCTTTCAAATAAATTGTTTTCTCTAATATTAGTAAATAGCTGACAGACATCCAGGTCACGTAAAGGAAATATTCCCTCTCATTTTAATGCCCCAAGCTTGTGTATAGGAAAGCAACTTTATGACCATTAACAATCTTTGTAGTGTTCTGTGCTTCAGAGTGAAAACCCATTCCTGCATGGGACAGAAGCAGGCATAGAATTTTTTCCATCACCTAAAATACATTGATCTTTACCCTTTTCTGCAGAGTCTGGTCTTTGAAGAATGCTGGAGAAAATGGACAGGTGGATTGGCTTGGAGTAAGCAGGGACGTAGGACTGCCAAATGAGATGGAACAGTGGTTAAACAAAGAGCTTCAAATACTGGACAGGATGGACCAGTAGTTTTTTTTCCAATGTGCTAGGGAGCTAGGAAATGCCAAACTTAAAATGTATTTCATTTGTTCAGATATGGCAGGGATACTAGACCAATTGGTCTGATCTGGAGCTGCAGAGAGGTAAATCTAGTGGGACAGGTGGACCACTGGGCCAATTGAGGGTATCAATTAAGAAGTTCTTTGCTTGTATGGCATGTTATGAGGTGCAAGCCTTGTGTTTTTTCTTTTCAGGCATAATTCACGCACCTGTTCTTCAACTCCTGTGTGTTGCTCTTAGCCTCAGAACAACAGCGCCCCTGTCCTGTCCCTTGTGTTATGTTGGAGGGAAGACATCCAGAAGTGGTCAGCATGGGTTTAGAGCTGGAATTGCTGAATCTCTCATTTCAGGTTTCTACTTCGTCTGGCACCCGTTCAGCCCAGGAAGAAGAGATGCCACAGTCCAGCAAGGTTCGGGGTCTGAGAAGAAGTGGGCCAGCAGGACTGCGCCGGCAAAAGCGCCGGTGGTCATCCCAGCAGGCTACTAGGAACCAGCTGTTGCCACTCCAGCCCAGCAGGACTAGCCAGGAGGAGAGCACACCCTTTGTACTGGACTTGCAGAACCTGCCAGGGTTGGCCAATGTCGACCTGAGTGCTCAGAACCCAAATATACAGGTAGGAATGCAAGGATCCATGTTGCTGACCAATGCTTGGCCCCTTGGGCAGAAGCAAGAAGTAACACAGCGGGATTATGTAAATAAAATCACTTGGGTGGAGAGTATCCTGGGCTGTGTCCATCTTCTTTAGGGGAGGGACCAGGGGATTGTGGTTGTGTGGTCACTAAGGCACGTGGTTGACAGCCCACAAGTTGTAAGTTCAAGGCCATAGCACGGCCCTGTCAGATTCCAGACGAATCTGTGAATTCTGCTAAATACCTTCACAAAGACAAGAAAAAGGGGAGGGATCCATAATGTCACTGCACTCAATCTTGCTTTCATTCTTCTGCACCATCCCAGAGATCAGTGAGGGGATCAGGTCTTTTCTGCAGAGCTGCTGCCCAGCCAGTCAGTCCTGAGCCTGTACTGGTGCATGGGATTGTTCTGTCCCAAGTGCAGAACTCTATCGAACCTCATGAGATTTCTTTTGGCCCAATCCTCCAATTTGTTGAGGTCTCTCTGAATCCTAGTCCTACCCTCCAGCATATCTACTACTTCCCCCAGCTTGGTGTCATCTGCAGACTTGCTGAGGATGCACTCTATGCCATCTTCCAAGCTGTTGATGAAGACAATGAACAAAACCAGCCCCAGGAGCAACCCGAGGCCCCAACCAGCTACCAACTAGATATTTAGCCATTGATTACTGGAGGGGAATGTGAGGAGAGAGGTGGGTGTGTGTGTCTGGATTGGATGCGAGAAGAGACACGATTCCTAGATTAAATGGAACGTGAATTCTATTAGGCTTAATTCTTACCTTGCCCGACCCAACTGGCCCAGGCCAAATCATCAGGAAAATAAGGAAGGAAAAAAAGTAGAGTGATGGAGTTCTGTGAGAACAAGCCCCAAAAATCAATGTGTAGAGCAACCTGCTGATGTGTTTCATCTTACATGGGTAAACTCTCTTCCCCTCCCCCTACCCACATGGGGCTGACAAAGTCCATTGGGAAAGCACCTGGTAGGGAACCCTCCCTCTCTGCACAAGGATTGTGAGGAAACCTTATTGGGTGGAGAAGTTACTATATGTGACTCAGCCAGGCATTAGGCACAACTTCACAGACAGTCTACAGGGTGGGGTTAGTGAGCTCACTCATTTGGTCTGTCCTTGTTTGATCTCCTAATTGGAAAGCTTTTGAGTGAGGGCCTTGTTCCTGGGGTCTGTGAGGTTGATTCCACATATCTTGCTTGGTAAGTAAAGCTCTGGAGCAGATAAGCTGCACCCATTTAAGATGGGAGCTGGTGACCCCTAAGCTCCTGGCACCCTGGAGAGAATGCTGAACCACAAGATCTGCTCATTCAGGATTCCCTGTGCTCCTGGCCCCTCTCTCCAAAACCCCTCAGTGTAGTGGGAGGGGTGAGTTTGGGAAGTGGTCCTAAGAAATGAGAGTGGTATCCCAGATGCCAGTCCTCTGCAGTTAGAGAGGTTTTCCCCAACCCTGCCTGGCTGGGCTAGCCTTTGCCAGACCCTTCTCCTGACTGACTTGTAGCACTCCCTGCTGTTCTAGCCCTGGCATCCGCAGACATGCCTTGATCCTTACCAGCAGCATTCCCAGCAGCTATTCCAATCCTGGGTCTCTCCTCCCAGCTCCAGAACACACTGTATTTTGTAACAGGAGGATGTCTGCTCAGAGTAGGCTGAGAACCCATTGAATTAATTGCATTAGTGATGAAAACTGAAAAGAATTTTGGTCTCCGTGGATATTCATTGGACTTTTTACGCCTCCTCCCATCCCCAGTCACCAGCCAGCTTGTTCCACTAGAAAACTCTTATGTGTGAGATGTATAATTTTGTCAGGTTACCCTGCCACAACCCCCAGGGACACTTGATTTCATAGGATGCACCCAGTAACTCATCCTCCTTAAGTGTGTGCAGTATGTCTGTTCCAGCCAAATTATCCCTTCTCTCCCCCTTACCCCCCGCCCCCATTTCTCTACAATTGTGTTTGCAGAGTATGTTTAAACTTGGGATGGAAAGGCCTTGTCCCATCACTAGAAATGTGTTCCTCAACTCTCAGCCTGTCCCTGGTATCTCAGCATGCTTCACAGACTGCTTGCAAAGTCCTGCAGCTCTCCTGGGATTCCCACATTTTGACCATTTTATACAGTACACCATTGTACATTGTTTTAAAATTACCCATTAAGGCCGGATGAAGGCAAAAGCAAAGAATCACAGAAGCCTGGCTATCACTGGCCCCACAGAGGCCCCTTCCAGTCCTGTGTTCCTGTGATTAAAGTAGCAACCTGTAAGATACAGAATATTAGCAGCTAGGAGAGATGTCCTGTGGGAAGCAGCCCTAAGCCAAAGGGGGAAGCCAGCTGTACTGTCTAGATCCTGAATTAGGAGTTTGGGGGCAAGCAGGAAAATCTGTTCTGGTTTCTTTGTGGGAACCCCTAGCAGCTGGGCTGTCAGCCATGAGCTCTGGCTTCAGTCCTGGCGTCCTCCCAATAAAACTGCCTGTTTCTGGCTTCCCAGGTGACCATTGAGGTGGTGGATGATCCTCAGGCAGAGATGGAGATGGACCTGCTGAAGGAGACTAGCAATGATTGGTCCCTGACCTCCTCGGAGTGGCTGTCCCACAGAGAACTCTTCTGGCCACTCTTCTGGGAGTACACAGACCCCACTGAGGAGGAGGAGGAAGAGGATGACAGCCTAGACACAGAGGATAGGGGGGAAGAGGAAGAAGAGGAGGAGGATTACACAGCAGAGTATGATGAAGAGGAGGCGACACTGAGCGGAGTGGGAGGCAACTGGGACCAGAGATGGTCAGGGCAAAAGAACTGGATTTTTAAAGAAAAATATAATTATGGTGAGTCATCTCTACCCCAGCCTCTGACAGCTACTCTCAAGATTTTCTGTGTCCACCTCACAGCCCACTGGGCCCATGCTGCTATTGAAGGCTTTGGGAAGGTTCTTTAGGCAGCTAGGAGGAGGCAGAATGGTCTAGTACAGGGATGTCAGACAGGTGGCATTTTTGAGGCATTTGCATGGCACACTCAATGTGCAGAATCTGGGTTTTCATTTGAAAAAATAAGGATATTTCTGGCCCTCATAGGGCATAATTCCGGGGAATATCCAAGTTTCCCTGGTGTGTCTGCTCCTCACTCCCCATGTCAACGTCACAGTGAAGGAGTTCAGCAGAGGGTTCACTAAAACGTGCAGCCGTGTATTATACAGGAGGTCAGGGTGGATAATCTAATGGTCTTTTCTGGTCTTAGATTCCAGTGAAATGCCCTCTCCAGCTCTGGCTTCACTGCCCTGTGGAGAGCAGATGAGGAGAACTGGGGGAGGCAGAAGCCAGGGGAATGCAGGTAGAGGGAGGCCAACAGGGACATCCTTTGTTTCTGGCTGGGTTTTGTGCAGAGGCCTTCATGCTTTGTCTGTTTCCTGCCATCCCCAGACTATGAAGATGAAGAGGAATGGAGTCCTTGGTCCCCCTGCAGTGTAACTTGTGGTAGTGGCAATCAGAAGAGGACTCGGTCCTGTGGCTATGCCTGCACAGCCACTGAGTCAAGAACCTGTGACCTGCTCCAATGCCCTGGTGAGCCCTCACTTGCCCCCACCACTTCCCACCCTTTGTACTGCTCTGATTCTTAGTAGTGCTAGTTTCCTGTCTCTTCTCATATCCTGAGAAGGCAGTATCATTGGACCTTCTCAAATTAATCTGCCTAATAGGCCCTGTCCAGAGCAAGATCCTGTTACTGGGAGTTGGTCATGTCCCACAGGGAATGAGTTCCCTGCCTGGGGCAAGGTGAGAAAAGAGGTAACTCAAGGATGTATCTGTCTCTGAGGCAAGGAGAATTTTAACCCTTTTTAACATTTTGAAGTGATCAGGGTAAAACTTGCTCCAAAAAAGAAACGGGGCCCAAAAAAATGGGCCACGTCTTTTCGTGGTTCTAAACTGTCTCCTAACTCTTTAACACTCCCAGTTCCCCTTATCCTCTGTTTGAGAACTGGATAATGCCAGCAGCCTCAGTACATTTTGATTTTGTGAGCTGAGACAATAAAAACAGCTGGTTCTTTTAATCACGCAGAAAGACTTTGTTTGGATGGTCCCATAGGCAGGCAGAAGTAGGCAATACATCATAGATCTAATGACCAGTCTCTCTGGTGCAGAGTTCAAAAACCTTTTACCCATGACTCTTTAAAGCCTCTTCTGTGGTTTATTGGAAGGTGGTTCCAACCCCCAGGATCTGGCATGACTGGTAACCTTGGCATTCTTCTTCTTGATGTGGTAGCCTAGTGATCTACACACAGGGTTGGGTCACCATGGTAGTGGGGCAGGAGGATATTCAAGGGTTTGGTGCCCAGCTCCTGCTCAGGACCTCTGGCCCATATGCAGAAAAGGATTCTTTGCCTCCTCAGAGGTTTGTCCCAGCTACTTGCTTCTGTGTTTTACCTCCCAAGGAGCTGATGGGGAGTTGGTCTTCACTACCGAGACACCATTTGAGGGGGAGAACACCACAGAGATGTTCAACTCAGGTCAGCATGTTCCTTCTCCCTTTAGTAGGGTCCTGGGTGTTCCTAAGGGAGCTCTCTATGCACCACTCCATGTGTCCTATGGAAATGTTCTACCCAGGGCTTCAGGTCTGGTGGGCTTCAGTGAAACACCTGTGCACATATGAAATGCCACTAAAGACTTCTGATCATTAGTATATTCCAGACACCCTAATGGAGGATATATGCACCCTTTTTATGGAGGGCTACACAACCCAAAGAACCGGTTCCACCCTGAAGCGGGGTGGACATTTAATGTTTCAAACCTAAGGCCCTTCATAGCCCCATGTGAAAGTACATAGCCCTGCCCTTGTCACCTGCCCTTGTCACCTGTCCAGGTACTGCACAGTTGTCTTGGAACTGCACATTCATAATGTGGTTACATTTTGTAGTGCAGTCAGGAGCTAACTTGGCAGTGCCAGGCTCTAGCACAGATTGCAAGTATGGGTGAGGTCCTCTCTGCAGTGGCTGTTGTGATATGAGCCTGACCTGGCCTCTGACTGCATCATGCTCTTGTTGATGCTACTACTCTGCCATGTGCCTTAGTGAAAGAGACCAGTAGCCCAGCGGCTCTGGTTGCTTCTCTCCAACAAGAAGCCACACAAGAAGCGCCTTTCTGTGTAGCACTGTCCCTTGGAGGGATACTTCTTTCTGAGCCCCATCTCTTGATCCACTCTTGTTCTCTGGCCTAAGGATTGATGTCTCTGGCAGGCTTCTTCCCTGGTACCAGCTCCTCTGTGGAGTCCTGTAGGCTCTGTTTGGGGGCACGGCACTAGCCCAGCTGGCCTGGAATGATACCATGCCTATGGCTGTGGCTGTGTTACAGGGAGGTGCTGGTCAGATGGGGAGCTTGCTCATGCTCCTGCTCTTTGGTGTTTCTCCTCCAGAAGTGGACAGCTGTGAGAAGTGGCTGAACTGCAAAAGTGACTTCCTCACTAAATACCTGAGCAAGGTGCTGACAGATCTGCCCAGCTGCCCCTGCTCCTACCCCCTAGAGGCAGTTTACAGTGCTGTGAACCTGCGGGACGAGCACCATGGCAAGAATTTCCGGTGGCGGGATGCCAGCGGGCCCAAGGAGCGGCTGGACATCTACAAGCCCACAGCCCGCTTCTGCCTGCGCTCCATGCTCTCCTTGGACAGCACCACACTGGCTGCCCAACACTGCTGCTATGACGAGCACACCCATCTCATCACACGGGGCAAGGGGGCTGGTGTTCCTAACCTTATCAGCACAGAGTTCTCCCCAGAGCTGCACTACAAGGTGGACATGCTGCCTTGGATTCTGTGCAAGGGGGACTGGAGTCGCTACCATGCTGTTCGGCCCCCCAACAATGGGCAACAGTGTGCAGATAACCCCACCGAGGAGGAATACCTCTCCCAGCTGCAGGAGGCCAAGGAGTACTAGCCGAGCTCAGGCGAGTGAGAGGAGAGCAGGATGTTACAGGTCCAGCCCGTAACCTACCAGGAGAACCAGGAAGCCTGTATTTCCTACTGCAGGGAAAGTCTGCAGGCCACAATGACTCTGGAGTTGTCCCTTGCTTAGCTCTCCTTTGGGAACAGAATAGTCCAAGGGAGGGATAAAGCCCCAGGCCCAGCATACAGGCTCCCCATCAGTGCCAACCAGGGGTGGGGTGTGGATTTCTTTTAAATCTGGGTTGTTGCAATAGCATCCCATTTCCTTCCCAGTTATCTAAGGGGTCAAATTGATTGTCATTGCCCAGCTGTTCTGATGAGGGCATTCTTTTTTACACTAGCTTGGTCCCTCCTGATGGCACAGGAGGCAAGGAGCAGCTAGAGGCAATGGAAGCCGGTAGCAGCTGAAGGCAGAGGGGACATACAAGGGGAAAATGAGTAGTTCCCCATAGTTTGCTATGAAGTATTAATTAGACTCCCATGAGATGGCTGAGGAGTTTCAGGGTCTTTATAGAGAAAAGCCCACAGCTCCTGATTTGTTTCCTGTTGTATTTGAGGCAGCTGGGCTGGTGGAATGAATACACTAAGAGTTGCTGCTGTGGTAAAGATTTAGCAGCTTTATCTGATCACAAGATGCAACTGTGTAAGCATTTGCCCCAGTAGTCCTGGGTCTCCTCTGAAACCTGGGACAGATTCTTCTAAGGGAGCAGTGTTATTGAAAAGTCCTGATGGTATGAGTAGAATGGGGGTCTCGTCTCCCTGGATCTGACATCTCACACATGGAAACTTCCAAACAACTAGCGAAAGGCCTGTACAGTGCTTATGTGGCTGGGGGAATGGGAGGAGGGTGTGGGTGCTGAAATCTTTGTGAAAACATCACCTCTCCAAGGTGGTTGGGGAGGATAACAAGGCACAACTAGTGCCAAGGCCAGGGGAAGATCAGGACAGTGGTACAAGCAGATATTCACATGGGGCAGGAAAAGGAAATGGTCAAATGTCCACTTGTCAAGTGACCACTTATTCCTCATTTCCAAAGGGGACAGGCAGGAGGACTTGTTAGAAGTCCCATCGCAGCTCATGGCTATACCCTGGTTCTCTCTGGCAGACCAGCTTTGCTGTGCATGGCAGTGTTAAAGCATCTATGAACTAGCAGATCCCAGACACTTTCTTCCCACATGTCTTTTTTCTGGCTCATTTTGGGTGCATGAGGCAACCCTGTTCTGTGTCTGTGCATGTCCCCTCAGTGGGAGAAAGAGAATCTCCCTTCCAATGCTGATTCTGCCCTGACCAGGGTTTGCTTCCTGCAGGTGGCAGATGGTTTTGGCATGATAAGGACCACATGGCGTCATTACCCTTCTGCACATAGCCACTTCTTTCCTTGATTTCTCCCTCAGAGAGGTTTTAGCCAGTGTGTTCTCTAGCCTGCTTCTCTACTGGGGGATGGGGAGAATGATGAAAGTTGGGCACTGCCAACAGCTTAGCATCTGGTTAGACCAGGCAGACAAGCATCCACCTATTTCTCTTGGGAACTTTCACTGCCCACGTCCTTTCTTCCTCTTATCCCAGCTCCTCCCATTCCCATCCACCTAGCCTTTTCTCTGCTAGGCAGTGGGAGATGGAAAGTGTCCAAAAGGTGTCCCATGTCTGGGGAACTGGCTCCAAGGTCAGACCCAGAGAGTGGTAGTTGACGGAACTGAATCAACATGGCACTTGGTGACTAGTGGTGTGCCCCAAAGCTCTGTTCTTGGATCTGTACCCTTTAATGTCTTCATAAACGATCTGGACACGAGTGTCAAAAAGACTGGCCAAATTCTCTGATGACACCAAACTTTGGGAAAGAGTGTCTACACTTGAGGATAGGCTGGTGATCCAGGACAACCTAGATAGGCTTGCAAAGTGGGCAAATGAAAACCTGATGGCATTCAATACAGAGAAATGCAAGTAGTTCCACCTTGGGAATAAAAACCCACATCACACTTATAGGCGCAGCAATGCTACACTCGCTATCGCCATGACTGAAATAGACTTGAGGGTCATGATTGATCACAAAGTGAATATGACCCACTAGTGCAATACCTCAGCTGGCAAAGTGAACAAAAATCTGGCTTGCATCTACCAATGTATCTCGAGCAGGACCCAGGATGTCATCCTCCCATTGTACTCTGTCTTGGTGAAGCTGCAAGTGAAGTACTGCATCCAGTTCTGGGCTCCACAATTTAAGAAGGATGTGGAGAAGTTTGAAAGAGTCCAGAGGAGAGCCACACGCATGATCAGAGGGCAAGAGAACAGGCCTTATGAAGAGAGGCTGCGAGCTATGGGACTTCAGCCTGGAGAAGCACAGGCTCAGGGGTGACACAGTGGCAGCCTATAAGTACATAAGTGGTGTGCATCGGGATCTGGGGAAACACCTGTTCACCAGAGCACTCCAGGGGAAGACAAGGTCCAATGGTCACAAACTCCTGCAAGACCATTTTAGACTGGACATAAGGAAAAACTTCTTTACTATCCAGGCTCCCAAGCCTGAAACAGACTCCCCCAAAGGTGGTGCAAGCACCTACTCTGGACACTTTCAAGAAACGTTTGGATGCTTATCTTGCTGGGATCCTTTGACCCTAGCTGACTTCCTGCCCCTGGGGCAGGGGGCTGGACCTGATGATCTTATGAAGTACCTTCCAGCCCTAATGTCTATGAAATCTGTGGATGGGCAGCAGTTGCTCAGCAGGAGGTTGTCTTGTATGGTTATCATGACCTTCAGTCTGTCTTCAGGACTCCGCAGTGTAGTCATTGACTTCACTCAACAGCTCCCAGCCTTCTGGGGCTAGAAGCTATATAGCTCCCTGCCACCTTTACTAAAAATTCCTTGGTCATGGCCCACAGTCCTGTTTTTGGACCTGTATGTCACCACCAGAAATGTTCTTTCATTGTTGAAGATCCAGCTAGCCCATCCTGCAGCTAGTTCTGTGAATTAGTTTAGGGCATGGAGGTTTGACCATAAACTCTCATCCCCTTAAAGATGGATACATACAGTGCCCTGCAGACTAACAAATATGTGGTAGGTTGGATCAGGGTGTGGCAGTAGTGGCATCTAGTGGTCATTTAGGAAAATAGCAAGTGTGTCATTGTCCTGGAGAGCCCACTATTCTGTGTGGATGACTGATGGGTGATGGGAATAAGCCACTCATGACTGAGGGTCACAAATGTCATCTCCTTCCCCAGCAATGTCTTCTCCTGCTTTCTCTGATGCTCCCTTAAGAACTTAGTCACATGAAGTGTGGCAGCCTAGCCTCATCTCCACAGCGAATTAGCAGGCAACATTCAGTTATACCCTGTAATTTCACTTCAGTCTCATTGATCTGCCTACACATCTTTCTGTGCATGAGATAAGGGTCTCAAAAGTCCTGTCTCAGTGTTCCTTAGCATCTCTTACAGGCTCAGTATAGCAGGATGAACCACAACTTCCCTCTTTATAATAAAATACAAGGGATAGTTTGTCCCACTGTCATAGAGGGAGTAAGGTGAGGAGTTCATCTGTCATGACAAAGGGGATGATTCCTAGGTCTGACCTTAAGTTCATGGGAAGGAAAACTTTCCAGGTACAGTGTGTCTTGTTCTTTCCTTCCATCCCTCATACCTGCTGGCTGTACTTGGAAGCAACCATAAATTCCTGCCTCAAAGACAGTCATGTCCTAATGCCAGAAAGGGAGCAGCTGAGTCATTACATCCCCTGCATCTAGAGCTGTGCCATTTCCATTACAGAGGACTCAGGAGACTCAAGATTTGACTAAACCGAAGCGGGTATGGCTAGGAAAGAATGCAAGCTTAACGATGATTGACTTGGTGGATAGAGTCTGTTAATCACTGAGCCACACACATTCAAAGAACTATACAGTTAGATACTGTACCATCTCAGTGATTGTTCTTGGCATTTCTGGAGTGCCCATTCACTGGTGGGTGCCTTGCCTGAGTTTTCCAGCTCTTCCCATACAATTGACCCATTGCCTCTTCGTCCAAGCATATTTTGTGGCCAATACCAAAGGTTCCCAGTCTTTTGGCTGAGGGTGTAGGCTTTAATATCACTTCTTCAGTACTTCCCTCAGTGGCTTCTGGGGTACCCATCAGCCTAACATAACAGACAGCTGTTCAGAGTATCCTGAATAAAGCAAATTTAATTTTTACAACCAAGTAAAAAAAGTAAGAATAATGGGATCACTGGTAAGCTAGGACTACCCTGAACACAGCTGGCTGGTCCATGCCTTTCTGCAGAATATAGGTTAAGCGAGGGGGAACCCTTCCAAGGCCAGAGGTCTGTATATCTGATTGCTATATGCTGTTTCTCTTAAATGCATAGTAGGCTGGATCAAGATGTGACAGTAGCAGAAATAGACTGGAGTCTGTTTTCTGGGCTCAGGAGCACCCAATATTTCAGCTGTCTTGGGATCTCTCTATCAGCCACTCTTGTATCTGTTGACCCTTTTTGCTTCTGTTCCTTGGGGAACACTTTGTGCTGGGTCACCAGCATGTGGGGCACTGTCACTGGTCAAAGTATGTATTTACCAAGTTGCCACATGCTGGGTGATTATTGTTTAATAATGATAGTGCATTGTCACTCACAGTAGCTGTTTGGTACGGAAGCCCCAAGTTACTGACACTGCAAAAACATATACAGACATCGCCCCTTCTGAGAAGAGCTTACAATCTAAGATGACAGATTCTGTATGAAGACTGGGAGGTAGAAACAGATAAACACTAATTCTAGAGAAAGTAGGTATTACTGTGTTCTCCCCACTATCATTTATTGGTGGGTTTCTTATGCATTTTGTGACCGAGGTTATTCATGAGGAGACATTTGGGTGAGGTGACAGCAGTGGTGTGATGGATCAGTTCCAGAAGAGCAGCCCATGTCTAAGGACAGCGTGGAAGAAGAGAGGTTGATTTTTATGTGCCAGGCTGCTGAGTGGAATCAGTCAGTGATGAAGGGATACACTCATGGGCCAACAAATAATCTTTTTCTATGTCCTCTTCAACACTAAATGACATTGGCCAACTTCAGAGAACTCTCTCATGAGTAGAGGCTATTTAAGATCAGTTTGTCTCCTACTGTTTAAGAAATTTCCACCTCTTAAACTTGGCTACGTTTCAAACAGGTGCACATTCAGGCAGGGTATCTGCAAGCATCCTTCCTGAGAAGAAGGGCTTCAGGATGTTATTCATCCAGCTTTGCTAAGCCAGGAGGCTTCCAAGTAAACACGTGTTTTCTATTGAGTACTGTTGCAGGTTAATAGCACCCGCACCCCCATTCACACTGAGTTTGTCAAACAGTACAAGCCTAAAAACAGAAACAATAATTTCTGTAACAAACCTAGTTCTGTAACAAACCTAGTTCCTATCAGATGCCTGGTGAGAACTTCAGCAGCACAGAGCTCTCCTCACACAAGCACCTTATGCATCCAGGAAGCATTGCCAAGCATTGCTAAAAGAGTAGGCATTTAGGCAAGTGTTTATTTTTATATCCCATCAAAAATCCGATCCAGCCACAGCTATTTAAGCTGGTAAAGAACTTACTTTATCATCACCCCCTACCTCGATTGTGTTTTATATAATATAGATATAGCTATCTATAGATATAGCTATCTATAGATATAGCTATCTATATATCTTTTACTCCTACAAAACTGTGTAGAGAGGAATTCTTTATTCTGACTTTGCAATAAAGCACTTTATTTACAATGTATGTATTGTTGTTGATGTTCGGTGGTGTTCAGCTGTATAGTGCTGGGTAGTTTTTTGTTTTATGGGACAACATAATGTTAAATGCTGCATATTTGGACCCATGTCCATTGCTGAATTATAAGGAGCCTGACATATTTGCTGACTTATTTTTCCTTATTGTTTGTGTTTTGATAGTGATGGGCGAACCGTAGGTAACATGAAGCAGACATTTCAGAGTCTACTCTGAACCATGCAGACTCCAAATTTCAGGTGATCAGACACTCCTGGAGGAATCTTGTTCTCTTGGCCTGGTAGTCCCACAAGACTAGCTTTCTCTGTGGTACAGTGGTACTTCTGTTCCCAGCAGACATGGGGGAAAGGAGAGGAGGGGAAAGAAAACACCTTAAATTGCTTCCAAAATCAAATTGATTTTTTCACAGCTCCAAGTCTTGAATTTTTGGGAAAAGGGAAAGGATCATGGCAGGTTTCATTATAGCTGGTTCACCCATCCCTACACTTTAATGTTCTGGTCTCTTCCTGTACAGTATTTATTGTATGTGATGGTTGTGGTAGCTTATAAAATAGGGGAAGTGATGCTGATGAATGGATCTGCACTATTGAGCCATGTTGTGTGTGTTAACTAAGTGCAGAGGCTTTACCAAAAGGGAAGTGATAATACCAATAAACTTTCTTGTTACCACGTGGTGGACATGTTTGCCTGATCTCTGACATTACAGGGCTCAGAAGGGCAAAGGGATTTGATTTCCCAGGGATCACAAAGATGTGGGTGCAGCCTCATTTGTGCTGAATTGGAAGTTGACTAAATGGGATCATCCACTCTGATTTTAAAGGAGATTTTGGTACTGGCATTTACAGGGCAGAGTGGCTGAAGTTTCTTACTAAACTTCAGAGGCATGAGTTCCAGACCTTGTCCAGAACAGCGAAAGGCTGCCCCCCATCATCCAAACTGTAAATGGTGCTTAGACATTCAAGTGGGAGTAGATGCGATGCTAGTCACATCATTCCTTGTCTGCTGCTGGCTATAGAAATTGCCACGCCTTAACCACACTAGCCCAATGGATCAGGCAGATCTTTGATTTTTGATTATAATGTGGTGTCTTTCTGAAGCCTCTGATTTCTTCTTTCTTTGCATCTTCTTTCTATTGCACTGGTCTAGCTGAGAAGGGTTGGGGGAAGATCTTGGACTGGCCACAGATACAGAGGCAGGGTGGCCCAGTGAAAAGGGAGCCTAACTAGGAGAAATCTTGGA